ACACACACACACACACACACACACACACACACTACAGATACAGGCACTGTACCCTGACAATATAAAGCTGATTCAGTGACAGTGAAAACCCCTCTGATTTAAACACAGTAAAATGCTGGGCAAGTGCAGGTCTTGCAGTTAAAGCTACATGTCGCCAGACAGATTTACACTGGTCTCATTATGCTGCAGAAACAATGAAAACCAACATTTTAGAGGGTGTTTTTGGTGGATTCATCAATCTATATAGTTGTTTTATCACAAACGTTATCAAAATAACCCTTAAGGCACTGATGTTAGCATCAAGCCAGAGTAAAAATAAAAGAGAACATGAGGATTTCATAGAGAGCTAAACCATAATGATTTCTGAGATCAACCGAGAGCTTATTCCTCTTAATTCTGCAGGAGCTGTAGAGGAAAGATATTCACAATCAAAGATAATAAGTGGACCCAGGGGGCTAGCACTTTTGCAACATATCTTTAATACTGCTCTCATCTTTGCATAACACGCGTTCTTGTTCTGGATCAAGCTTAAAAAAATGTATTTTCTCATATCTAGTACTGTCGTCCATCTTTTGACAGCAAACACAGCAAAGCTATTTGTCGTCATATAAATTTCACTCTCATGCCATGTGGGTGGGAAGCTAATGCGGTTGTAGTTCAATGGCCTTAGCTGATCTTCAGGTTTCCAAAGATGAATCAGATCAGGGAGTTCATGAATGGAGACATTTGAAAGCTTGTATTGAATCGGTGAAGGACTGTTGCATCAATTGCTTTTAATAGAGGTAAATGAAAAGCGTTTAGATTACACACTCATAGTAACATCTCAGTTTCCTTGGTTTGAATTATCGTGTTGGTACAAATGAATAAGATGGCATTTCAAGAGAGGATGTTGATGTTGGTGTGACTGCTCTTAAAAGCACAAGAGAATCATGGGGTCGTTAGTTAGGCCTTCGTTGGTGTTTCCACTTCAGTGAGTCTGTGTGAATGGGCCCTGTGGTGTTTGTTGTCACGTAAAGTAGGGCTTAAACTATAATTCCCCAGCTATGCATCTGGACTCTGAGCACACCTGAAAGAAGCACGTAAACAACTACTTTCAACTAAATCGTCCCCATATTATATTATTTGACCTTAGTGACCAGTAATGCTGTGTATGCTGCTGACTGGGCATGTGGTCTTTTCACTTTCTCAGCTCCAGACTTCATCACAGGAATTCACTGACCAGTAGGCAACGTCATGACGGCCCTTTACGTCTGTGGTTTACACATTAGAACCAAAGTAGGAAGTTCAAAGTGCTGCAAAAGTACATTAACATTACGTGTTTTCAAGCAACCAAGCTTTACATTTGAAAGTAGAAAAATAGTGAAGGTTCAGAGAGCAAATGTAATGTGTACCATCTTCAAGAGAAGTCCTGATTAAAAGAGGAAGTACGGCCACAGGAGTCACACTAAATACAGTTTGGGGAAAAGTACTTCTAATAATAGTTCACCTTTTTAGAAAGCTGTCAAACCTTAGTGGAGGACTGATCACATAAACGTACACATTTTTAAACATGCTAATCATGTATCAGCAGCACTTAAAGAACTTAAGTGACCACACTTCAAAATAAAAGTCTCTTTCAGGACATAAAAGAACTTTTCCAGTTCCCGTTTCCATGTCGAAGCGTATGCAAAAGGAAATTTTCGGTAATAAAGCGTTGCAGATGGAATCCAAAACTTGATAAACTATTTCAGAGTTACTGCTCCACAGTGAGAATGAGTTATGCAATGAAGACTTCATTCTAATATGCGCTCTTTGCTTCAGCCTGTTTTGTAATACTCTTCTCCTTTTTACAATTTCTATCATTTCCCAAGCC